CGTAATATTTGTAAAACATTTAAGACAATTATATTTTACATAAGAGAATTAACGTTCAGATAAACAAACAAATCAGCACTCTAAAAATTATCTGATCTAAACTACTTATAACACATTTTTCCTCTTGGATGTAATACAATTTATTGATTTTCGACCATATGCTTAATAATTATTGTAATGTACTTATTATAGTACTTTGAGTATGTTTTACTTAATAATTTTTTGATTTTGTGAATATATACAGATCGAAATTTAACTTAAAGCTTGTAGATAAAATTACATATTTTATAATTTTCTAACATAGTCTTTAAGTTTAAACAATTCTGTAATCGGTCAATTTTCTTAATTTCAATTGGTTTGTCAATTGAAAATTTACAGCGGTATATTTTGTTGATACTTAATATTCAATTCATAAGACTAATCGTCCTTGCAAGATGTATAAGCTCCAATTAATAAACAATTGAGTCGAACGATTACTATCACTTTCAAATTTTTTTTTAAAAGTTTTATTTATTTAATTTTTTATTTAAAATATACATAAGTCTCTTTGAGTGTAAATAAAAAAAGTTTAAAAAAAGAAAAATTTCACTGGCTTGTTATTTTTAACAAATAAAAAATAACAACAAAAATGACATTAAATTGTGTTTAATTTTTAAACATATTTATACTATTAAATTTCTTAGTGAAACAAAATGATTAAAAATATTTTAAATATTACTCTTTATATTTTAGCTATTGTTGGATGGTTTTTTTTTATTTCAATAACATTTATCGCTGTACGTTGGAATGACTTCGTAAACAGAAATCCAAATGCACAAGACATCATAAATCGAATAATAATTGAAGTGATTTTTAAAACATGATTTCAACAATTTGACATGACACATGCAAATAGAAAGTTAAAAATAACAAAATTCATAGTATGAAATGCACAAGTATCAAACGTTTAGAATTCAAAAGATTATATCATATGATGAGGACAAAATTAAATCATTAAAAGTTAGATGTCATTTTTAATTATTTTAATATACGCTAATTGTGTACCAACATAAATCAATGTAATTTTTATTTTATTTATAATTTAATGAACTATAATTTTATCTATCATAGTTACTTATGTATATTTTTAACAATGTGATACAAAATGGGTAGAAGAAATAAAATCGAAGATTTATTTGGCTTAATAATAATAATAATAATACACAGCTATACAGCTTTCATGATAAATAAGAATATCTATATACTAATAAACATTTTTCTTTAATAGATTTTTAATGCATAATTATACATTTTTAAATTATTTCAATGACTATGTAGTAATTTTCATTTTTTTTTTCACCACCTACCAGTCAAATTAATAATCATTTTATTTTTAAGAATTAATTCAACAATATAATTAATCAAACAATATTTTTTAATTAAATGAGTTATCTCTTTACTTCAACTTATATACGAATAAATCACAATAGCAATATCCAATTTTTTCTTTTTAAAAAGCAAAAAAACCAAGTACGTTTTTGCTCTCATATTTAACGAGTAATTTGCATTATAGTAAACATTTAATTATAAAATTTGCTATTTAAATTTTTAAGTTTTAATCAATAACATATAATTGTATACATAACATTATAATTATTTAGGTATACAAATATTTAAACGACTTCTAATTTCAATATTCATTAAAACTTCAAATCCTAATGGGAATATTAATTGACGTATTACGTGATTTTTATTTCATTGTTCTGGTTATATTTAAGATCTTAATATATTTGTAATTATAGGCTTAGGTAAATTTCGATTTAAAATTATTAAAATGGATTAATACTGATTTTACGTCACACTAGGTTTCATAGCCTTGATTCAAATGTCAAATTCTTTAACAGTAAATTATTTGATTGTAGATTGTCGTGATTAATCTAATGTTATGATTTACTTTTTTATTTATTTAAATACCAACAGTAATAGTATAATGTAATTATGTATGTATAATATTTATGTCATAGTGTATTAAATGGTTTTCACTCGATTCCGAATCAAACGTTTTTTAAATAGTTTTATAAAAAAAAAAAAAAAAAAAAAATGGTATAAATTTTAACTTGTAAGTCAAACATAACATAATTATTCAGCGCATAGATTATACAAAAAACTATTTAGAAGAACCTGACCTGGAGGTTTTCTTTAATGACTTTAAGGGTTATGTGCTTATTTTTTTTATTCCACTCCCCGTGAATAACTAACAATAGAGTGTTGTTGACTTGTTTTGCAAAAGAGCGCGAAAAAAAAACTTTAATTTCAAAGTTTGCAAATGAAGTTGATGTTTTCGCAGCCTTTCACTCGCGATTGAAAAGTTTTTGAATAAACGAAGAATAAATAATTAAATTGTCACCCGTCAAGAAACTACTCGAAAGAGTACTATAACGGTGATCTAGAAGCAGAGATCATTTACAGAAACCTCTGGCGACTAGTTTTTTTTTTTTTTTACTTTTAGAACACCAGAAACATTTTAAGTGCCAGTAATTTTGTGAACGAAACAGAGGACTCTTTGAAAAAGTTGTACAAATTCGAGTAGATTTTTTTAATACCTACCTTAGATTTTACTATTTAAAAAAAACCAGAAGGAAGTTTCCAAGTTTCGTTTCATTATAAATGATTCATTAACTAATAAACCAGCGGTAATTTACGAAAGCCTGAGGACTTCTTCAAATCTAAAATATTTATTCGCTTACTCTCCGTACATACACAAATTTTTTGTGTACTGTTTGTTAAGATGTCAACATTTCGAGGTATTTAAACACAGTTTACTTACTTCACGATTTCATAATAATTCTGGAATAAATATCGTTCTATTTTTAAGTCTCAAAATACATCACCTTATGGATAGTTATTGCATCAAAACAAAACGAACAAGAAATGTTTTATAACTGCAGAGAAAATACTTCAAAACTAAAACCTCTAAATTGATTACGAAAATTGATAAATACAAAAGATGTATCTTAATGAATTCATTCATAAAAATCCTTATTTATTGTATAGGTATAGTTATATATATATATATTCATTATATATTTATTATATATTATTTATTATATACAATAAATAATAATGGAAATTATTAAGACAAACAATCTTATGGAAAAAATCAGTAATGTCTTCGATAAATTTACCATAAAATAATTATTTTGAGATAGAAATTGCATATTGGACGTTATTAGTTATGATTATAAAAATATTTAATTAATAAAAATTAAAACAGGAAATTTGCTGATCAATTATTTGCTTAATTAATTCTAATTCAACACTAAGATAATTGCAATACAATAATAATAATAATAATAAATCATAACATACAACTAACTGTGATTTTCAACAATGGCAATATTTTGTTTTTAAAACACTAGCAACCCATTTTTACTTAATAATAAGTTATTACTAAAAACCATTTTTTTAGTTTAAATTTTATTTTATTGATTTTAAATATAATATGACTAACATAATTGCTACTGCACTGATGTGAGAGAAACGAGATAAGTGACGACATTTTATTCAACAATTTTAGTATATTTCATTTTTAAACTAAATAAATGTAAAACTGTCTAATGTTTATTTATAGTATTTAGTTTATAAACTTATTGAACAATTAATTAAATGAATTCGTACCTGTCATAATCAGTTTAAAATGTAATACAAATAATAATATAATACATTAGTTCTAGGAAATAATTATTAAATCCTATAATAATTCTTTATGGAACACGACGTTGCGAAAGTAAGTAATTGCAAAAAGGTTTTCTGAAGGATTATTATATTTTGCTTTGTATAAAATAATTTAAACTCAGCCAAGTATTAATGAAATCTTTAATATCTTATTATAGGAACTAACAGAATTAATGTGATATGGTATTAAATTACTTCTTCTCGGTGATTTTTTAAACACAAAGAATAAAACAAAATATATTTCATAATTGATTTATGAAGTCTTTTATATTATTCATTACTTTGATATCTCAAAGTTTTAGTAAACGCCCTCAATCATAGAAAACGAATCTTCCTGTAATCCTTTCCTCTAGTCGACAGTTGACGTTGGCTTCCGAACGAATTCACATTCAAGTGTCTTACTAATTCATCCTTCTGTATTTCTATTATTTCCTTTTATTACTTTCTGGCATTTCGTCTTTTGTCCGTAAACATTTTCATGCTTTTAGTCCTGTCAACAGTTCGTTGCTATTTAATTCATTTATTTATATATAATTCGTCTTAGCGACACTTTTTGTTTCGATAGTTTCTCAATACCCTACACCATCCCTTTTTATTTATTTTATTTTCAAATCGAACTTGCTATTCAAATTAATGTGTATATATATATATCTGTATTTTACGTAACAATTAAAATCTCTAAAATAATGTATTGTATTATATTTAAGATAGTTTTTACATAGGTATATTATAATTAAATTTATAAACATCGAACTTTAAAATTTAATTTTAATAACTGTTACAATTAAAATATGTACACACGTTAAAAAATTCGGATAAAATACTCTATATTCATGTCATGCAACCAATGCTAAAATCATTGATTTTTTTTTACAAACCTAGTTATATTATATTTATACAAATTGAATTATAATTTTCAAAGGACACAAATATTATTTTAAATGCTTTTTATTGTTCAACGTTAATTTATACAAGTATAGGTAGTGCAGCAAACTCAGTTCGGTGGTAAAGTAGCATTATTAATATCCAGTAACGTAGTTATACAGTGTGATGAAGGGTCGTTAATAAATAATGAATATACTCGTATGTGAATAAGAAAATTATTCCAACTTAGTTAAAGTAATGTAATAAAACTAACCATATGTATATCTATGATATTATAATATACTAGTATGTAGTATGTATATGTAATAATATTTGTTCGTTTTATAAGTATAACACGCTTTAGTTGTTTAATTAAGGATGTTTTTCCATCCACACGCTTTAGAATTGTGTCCATATTTTAGGCCCAAAAGTGGTTCGATGTTGTTGTACAGCAGAAAAAAAGTGCGGTACCGACGCGACGGTTATTGTTGGAAAAAAAGAAAAGATGGCAAGACTACCCGTGAGGACCATATGAAGTTGAAAGTTCAAGGAACCGAGGTTAGTATGATATAAGTTTTGTATACCATTTCAATTAGTTTAAACAAAATATAAAAAATTCTCATATATATTGTTCAATAATAAGATACAAAATAGAAATACGAGACATACATACTCGTACGTATATACATTAATAGCCATTTTTTCTGAAGTATAATACTGAACAGTGTATTTTTTATAATTTGAATCTCGAGAAAATTAAAAAAAAAAATTAAGATGTCTTTAACTATTGAAAAATCAATAACACATAATTATACTCGTACGTCTATTAGATTCTCAAAAGATTTACTGTTTCAAGTTGTTAAGAAAATGTAATATTTTCTATTCAAAGCTATTAGAATTCTAGAGCAATGTGTTAATGTATAAAAATAATAAAAACAAAAATCGATCTATGTATTTTATTAACGAAACGCGTGGGTTGAAAAATAAATCCAATAAAGTTATCATTTCAGTTCGAAATCCTTATTATAAAAAGTAACTATCACTATTATTGTTATCATTATTTTTTTTTTATATCACATAATATTTAAAGATTATATATAATACTAATAATAATAATAGTCACTGTTATTCTAAACTCGGTGAAAATGTAATGACAATCATAAAATTGGGTTATCGTCCTATTTTCTTCGCGGACAATTAACTTTTGATTGTCTATAAGTATGTGGCTTTAGAGTTTTCCAATTACCCGAGAAGTTAATTCAAAGTCTTAAATCAATAGTAATATACTATTTATGTATATATATATATATTTATATATATAAATATATAAATGAGCAGTATAACCGTAGTGATTTTCGTTGCAGGTGTACCTATACAGACGCTTTGGTTTTAACGTAAACTTAATATACTCGTAAATCACACACGCGCACGCAAGCAAATCTCGGCATTTGTCATTACTATTTAGCATTTTTTAGGTTTCGTTTTGTATTCATTTCCACACAGAATTTCTCAATGTTATTCATCGGTATAAATATTTTACATTTTATGAATTCGTAAACACTCCGAAATATCAATACCCGTAGGGTTGTGTACGATGGACAATTTTTTTTTTTTTACTCACCGCGAATACGTCAAGTCACTGGTGACGTACTAGAACCAATATACCGTCATCGCACCCCGCACGATTCTCATCATATTAAATGCACAATCATATTCCTACTGGACTTATAAATTATTTTTAGCATGGAAAATACACATGTTCGGTGGAGTCGGAGTTGTAGAATAAATAATACAACTTTGATTGCAATAAGAAACGACAACGTCTAAAGACCCAAAGACGTATGTTGACAGTAGTCAAACGTTATTTATCGTCGTTGGCATTTAAAAAAAAGAAAACCTTTTTAAATATGATGAATTCTAGGCACTGTGTCGTCGTTAAGAATCAAATGTTTTTTGTATCAACGAATTTCCCATAGTAATACTCATATACACTTCATAGTGATCAAAATTTCCATTGCAAGTTCTTAAAACATATAAATATGCAAAAAACAGAATAATTAATAGAATTAATTAACAGTATTATGAAGTAATTAATCTAAAACTCAATACCAAGTTTCAGTTTAATAATGCCTTTTTAGAGAGGATTTTTTAAATACAATAGCATATAAAAGTTTAAACATCAACAGATATAATATCAATTTGGATTTGAGTATTATAATGCTAATTTCGTATTCAGTTCAAACGCATATTCATTTTAATTCCAAACAACGTTCGTTTTTCTATTGAAATATATTTTATTATTATTGTGACCATTTTTTTTTTTTTTTTTTTTGTAATTAAGTCATATTACTCGTAATATGATGGAGCAACAATACATAATATATCCAATACTTGATACAAAAAACAAATATTGCCAATATTTTAGTAGATAAAGAGGTAAGTTTAATAATGTGTAATAATTCATATTTTACTCCCGTGAACGACTAATTTAACATATTATCTAAGATGACCTTTACATAAAAAATAATATATATTCTCTCATTTACAAATACTTTCTCGATTTAATTTAGGTAAAATATTTGATAATTTATGTATACTTATAATTGCACTATAAACAAAATGTATACAAAAATAATGTTCTGTAATTCATCATTGATGAAATAATTAAAACTAATGGATATAATATAATATAAAATATTATAAAAAAAAAATCAATATATAATTGTTATATCAGAATATTATTTTATATGATAAACAAAGTTTAAAAAAATATTAAGGTATTCTTATAAATAAGTTGTACGAAAAAAAAGTAACAATAATTGAAAACTTCAGAAATAAATCATTTAAATAGGTCTACTTTATTAATAATTAAAAATAAAATTACAAAAATTGAATTTAATTACTTCAAACATAAATTGTTTCCTTGGATATTAAGAGAGTTTACATGAAATACAGTAAAGTTTCACGGTGGAGTTAAATGACAATGAGAGCTCATAAATTTCAAAATTTACCAAAAACATAATTCAACGTGATAACTTATCGCCGTATCGAAACGACCTACTGAATTAAGAGCTGTTTCCTCTCACTTGATAAATTTTTAGTGTTGCCTGAATTTTAAACGGTTTACATAAACATTATATTTCTAAACAAATCCAATATCTCGAGAATGTATGTGGTAAAAATATACGAGTATTATTTTATGATGGATTTGATCTTTTTAATCCGATAATGACTCTAAATACAATTATAACATTTTCACCTAATCGCACTATTTGAATTAGTTTTTATAAAATCATATGACACAGATAATTTTATAACTCTGGAAAATTATTACTTTTGCTTTAAAATGTATAATCCATTTATACGTCTACTGATTATTTGATTTTTGAATACTATTGCACATTTACAAGATACTAGACCTATGATATTATTGATGATATTTCAAGTATAATCAAATGCTCAAATATCAGTTTGGCATTTTATATCAAGTACTATCAACATTATCCTGTTGCAGTGGTTTCATTTTCGGTTCTAATTGTATTTTCTCTAAATGTTTTAACATGTTGGTGGTGTAATTATTGTTTTTTCTTTATTATTTTTTCTTTTTTAACGCGCAAAAACGTCATCATAAATTACGTCTCACAGTCGATATTATTGTCCAGAAATGTGCAAGAAAATAACAAACGGACAATAGAAAAGAACAGATTATTATCGTGGATATTTTTTGTTAAGAAAAGTTTTGCTGGTCGTCTTACCTATAGGTACAATCCCTAGATTTTAATTACAAAATAGTAATCATTTCTTTTGAATTTTATTTTTATTTTCTGTATTAAGTGAGTATAAAAATACTAACTAATATATAAACACGATTCGTTTGTAGCTTCTAATTTTTCTAAAATTTGATATTTCAAACCGTTTATTGCTAATATTATTTTTTGAGCATAATAGAGACAAAAAATCACAAAAACGCATAACTTGTATATGTCGGATGATTTACTGTAGGTACTTGAAAAACTGAAATAATCTTGGTACTAAAAATTAGATTAAGAATTAATAATAATTAATAAATTAATTAATATTTATATTTGGGAGAATTAATTTTCGTAACATTATGATAATATTTAACTTACTGAAATAGGTAAATATATTCATTGAAACCTTATAAATTTCAATATTAATTTTTTCTTACATATGATTTATAATTTTAGATTGTGGAATTCATACTTTTCATTTGCCAATTAAATTTGCTCAAACCCGAGTACCAAAATTCTGATCAAAGATAGTTAAATGAAATCTGAAAATTAAAACACAAAAGCAATCCCACTGTACTATATTATACTATATTGTAAATCGTGCCAAAATAATAAAAATATTACAAAATTGCTTTCGATTAACTAAAAGTTTTACCAAATCTCCTGGCTTATGTGAAAGGATTCCTTCTGCATTTACTATGATCCAATGAATATTATTCTATTATATTATAATATCGAAATAGAAATTCCATCTCTATTTTATTTTATTTGTTTCATAAAAAATAAACGACTTTTTTAGACAACCTATAAGCTTCATAGATTTTCCTCTACACTTCTGAAATATCTGAAAAGTTTTTTTATTTGGATTTTCGCAACTTGACGTACACGGACCTTCGTTTAAATAACCAGTGTTCAAAATTATCTCACGTCATAGTCAAATCCAATGGTTGCTAACACATAATGTTCTACTCCATGTTTCACTGACCTATAATATTCATTGCGAAATGCAATCATTTTTTTTTAAGTTTTTAATTCAATAAGACTTGTTATTTTCTTAATAAAAATAACTACATTTATAATTACTAGATAGTTAAACTTTGTATGTGTGGAACCATCTCGGCTACGATAATAATAAGACTGTAAAAATGTTTACATCATTTTCGATAATCGATAGAAATATGATTCTTCCTCGAAAATAATGAACTTCCACCGCAAAGTTTACGAATTTTCCGGACCCTACTCGTGCATGAATATCTCGTTTGTCTGTTGTTTATGTCTCTAAACAGAAGATTTCATATCGTTAAATCGCTTGAACGAAGTGCAGAATAATACAGTTACTTATAATTTCGTTTTCGTCGTCGATCAGCGTATATAAAAATAATATTTACACGTGGTATAAGAGTTTTAGTGATATCGTAATAACAAATACATATTTCCAAGTCCACAATGTACGAGCAGCGTACATCGAATGGAAAATAACTTTTGCATTGTTCATGTGATCCATGCCAAGCATCTTGGAGGAAAATGCAAATGTGCCGACAACGTTTTTACCATAGACATGTGCATCCCCGCCGCGGGCAACCCTAACCACTGCCCCGAGTGCACGTCACTACCTGCAGCAGTTTTATCCCAACCCGTGCAGTACGTGCAGATGGACGACCAGACAGTCGGACGTCGAACGGGGACAGCAGTAAGATGTTTCCCGTCCACGTTGTTTATAATAATAATATTATTACTATTGTTCTGTTTTCGTATGGAACAGCGATTCCCAAAGTTTTTCCTGCCACAGAGACTTTTCTTAAGCAGTGTTTTCTATTTCTAGGAATATTTCATGATTTGTTTGTCCGTTTTCTACCAAGCATATTACACATGATGTGTACACGGGAGGAAACTCTAAACAATATAATGTATATGAGATATAATATATAATATTTGTATACAATATAATGTATATATAATGTATATGTATATGTATATGAGAGTTCTAGTTGATCTTTTTTAAGGAGTAGGAATTAGGCAAATTAAGTAGCAGGTAAATTTGGGTCATGTCAATGTATGCGATGTTTTTTTTGTTTTTGCCGAATAGAACCACCGTAATATTATTATTTATGTACAATGTACCCAGCCAGGTAATGCCTGGAATTGGAATGCGTATTATCTAAAATCAAACAATTATATTTTTTTATCGAGATTTCAAAATGATTTGTACACGTATCGGTTAATTATATTTGATTTGATGGAGGCTTGTTAAAATGTATGTATGCTCGTTGTTTTAAATTACGATCAATGATTGCTATAATGTTTAATATTTTATGTTTAATCGAACATAGCCCTAAGGGCTCCACGGAACACAATTTGATATAGAACATACGGAAAATGCATAATATTTCCCCGTATTGGCCACTGTCATTATCCCCCACATTCGTCCGACTTTCAGAGGCGGGTCAGGAATGCACGCTTACGAATCCCTCTCCCACAAGTAATTTTGATCCTTGTCTACGTATATCATTATAATCAGGGCTCGTGAGTTCATACCTTAAGTAAAACCTAAATAAGCATGCACATATGCACTAAAAATTGATAAATTTTCTATTGAAATAAGTCTTAAAAATTTAAAAAAATATGCATTTATATGCACTAAAATTCTAAAACAAAATTAAAACTTGCGCATTAAAAAAAAGTTCAAACATTTTTGAATTGACAAGAATTTTCATTTAATTTTTTTTTTTTGTAGTTTTATATAAATTATTATTGTTAGATATTGTAAAACAAAAATACGCGTACACACATCACAATAACAACTGAAAAAGTTTCCATATTCCATGAATGAATTCTTTAACTTTTAAAGTACGAGTATCCAAAAGATTTGTCTTATGACAATTTCTATATTTTATATACATTTTCCATTTGTACCAAAACACTGATAAACTGAATAAAGTAATGACCACTATAATTTAATTTTTTATCATTTTATGTTGCGACCGAATTTCTAAAATATTATATAATGAAAAATTATAAACGATCGCATTTTTCTTTTTTTGTCTAAAATTTATTCTTTCATAGTATTTTCATAAAAAAAAATGCACATTAATATAATAATATGAAAAAGAATGTCAAAATTATAAATAATATGAATATTATTATTATAAATAAATATGTCAAATAGATAAAAAATCTCTAAATATGGAAAAACATGCAAAATAAAACTTCATATATTTAATCGTGGTACTTTGAAATAAGTTCTTATATCATCTAGTATTATATACAATTTGGCAAGATTGATATGCAAATGCATGAACTTATGATCCCTGATTATAATACATGCATTTTAAGCTTATACATTTTTTTCACTTTAGTTTCGTTCTGTACTTTCGCGTACAGTTATACAATATTATGTATGGCTACGACAAGATGACATTCTGCAGTACCATTACACAGTAAAACGATAAACCGAAAATAAAAATTCCAAAAATTAAATATTGATGATCAAAGGTATAATACAGTAATGATAAGGAGTGACTCCTCGGTTTTCGAAAAAATGTAAAGACAATATACCTAATGCGCACAGATTTTGCTACTCGGCATACAAGGCCGTCGAAAACTTTTGAGGACCCTGTGACTGATTAGTTCCAAGCCCCCTTTACTTGCACTTTTTTGCCAAGGTAGTCATACTACTTGTAGGTTCATACTTTAGTACAATAAAAATATTCAAACTCGCATCTTATGCTATGGTGAGTGAGATGATAAAACAATTTTGTATAAAAGGCTGAGACGATAGGCAGGGCCAGCGAAAGGAGAAATTGCATTTATTCCAAGAATTCCCATGATTCCCTCTGACTTGCCGTTTTCTTTCAAACGGCTTCAATTCCCGGTTAAAGTTTCTTTTGCCATTACCATAAACAAAGCGCAAGGTCAAACATTCAAGTACGTTGGTGTAGATCTTCGTACAGAGTGCTTTTCACATAGGCAATTATACGTGGCATTTTCTCGAACTGGGGACCCGAATCATCTTATAATTTTGATTTCAACAGGAAATATAACAAAAAACATCATATACTCAGAAGTCTTATAAAATTCTTATTTTAATTCTTTTTTTTTTTTCTTCATTAACTTCAATCAAATTCTTTATCAACCATAAATTATTTCTTTTTATCTGTATTTATTTTTATCATTTATAACGCTAGAAAACTTTCAATCCGTTTTCATTAACCGTTTTTTTATATTTACTTACCAATCACATTAAACAATAATATTTGAATAAAAAATTCTACATATCATGGTCCGAAGGCCAAATAAACAACCAATCACGGGCGAAACTGTGACGGGTCGGCTATATATATACATATGGGCCCCGGGGCTCTAGCCCTCTCTGCCCTACCCTTTCACCAGCCCTGTTGACATACGTGTTAAGTATTTTAATTATTAGAAACTGTATTTGACTACTTAAATGCATTTTAAGATAGTTCATAGATTTTACGATTTTTCAAAACACAGGCACAAGAATAATTATTTGGATTATACATAATACATGTATATAATACCTTATAATTTTCAGTCAAAGCCGTTTTTGACTATGCAGCAGCTCTTGATTACATAGACTTTAAGGGCCCTTTTAGGAGCAACACTACGATTATTATTTCACATTGCACACCAATTTCCAAATTATAATAAACATTTGGAATTCGAAACGGTATTTTTAAACTTATCTCTTTATTCTAAAACATATCAACGACATTATTATATTACGGAATTATTTATATTATTTTTAAATTATAACTTACTGTTTAAGCCTGACAGTCAAATATTCAGTTGATATAGGTTACTCAAATATGTTAAAACGTAATGATATAAACTATATTTTTCGGAGCTTTCGTCGGTCAGGAGTCACATTTATTCGAGGGCCATGAGACCGTGCCTCACTTGCCCTTCGGGTAAAGAAGGAATAGTTTGTAGTTGAGCTCCCCCCTTGCACATACACATGCACACATGAACGTACATTCCTGGATGTGGCTTGAATCACCAATCGAAACGCATCCGTCAATCGACACGTTCACACAATTTTACAACAATAACATTATTGTTAATACATACTTTAAGATCGTAATTCCGTGCGATTCGTGTTCTCGGTTTGTTAGCGACTGAACAAGTAAATTATGGAACGAGGACATCGTGTTTTACGCTCAAAACAACACTTAAATTTCTCGGGTGATTCAAAACTCGAAATCCAAACTTATTTCTGGCACCAGGCGGCTGCAATGTGTGTCTGTAGGGACTTTTTCCGGGACCGACCTGCGTACCGTCCACGTATTTAATAATATGTTACGGTACGGCAAGTTTAAAATTTGCTTTCCGAGCCGCTGCGAACACGTGTTTGTCAATTATTATTCCCATTCTTGTATGCCGACCCGTGTCCAATTAAAATTCCTCTAATTTTACGTACAGTGACTTCTAAGACGCCAATTACGGGACTTTCTTGCGACGGACTTTCGCGAACGCGAGCAACCGGAACTGCCGGTCGCCGAAGCTGCACTTTGTGATTTATTGCGAGTACGAATATCCTTCGCTGGAATTAAATAACCCGTAAAAGATATTTACGATTGGTATAATGAGTATAAGGAGTTTCGTTGTATTTTTTGTAAAAGATGCTGCAGCGACGTTGTACAAAATATGATAACTTTGTTTATTATTAATCGATGTTCGCAATTTTTACATTTAAATGCATCCTTCTCTATTATCATTATAATACGTTTAATACGTTACAAAACGTATTAGTTTGTTAAAAAATATAAATAAAAAATAAAATATTAAATTATCAGTCAATTTTCTAATATTTATTTCGATTCAAATATATTGTAAATAATTATTTTTTAAAGCATAATTAAATGAGATAAACACAAGTTGGCAGAGTTTTTTTTGTTTTATGTTAACACAGTTCAACTGCAAGTGCAGACAAGTAATAAAAATATTGTTTTAGTGCATTTATGGCTGTTATGTGCATTCAGCTATACTACCAACATTCCATAGAAGATGTTACTGGTTACTACAAGTGAGTGCTTTTATTTTTATGTACATTATTATTTTTATTGATTATGCATATATATTTATACAAGTGTAAAACAATTCAAAATCCAATATTATTACGTGACTATAATAAACACCCAATACATTTCACTTATATAACAATCGTAATGTAATTTTCAATTCCAAGCGAAGCGAAAAAGCTATACATTTTTTTTTTCGTGAATTGTTTTATTTTTATATTTTGAAGAATACTTCTTAAGTCCATAAAAATGCTTCGAAACACGTATATAACTATCTTATTATATATATATATATATATATATATATAGGTACAAATAATTCGATTGAAAACTGTACGCTTAATATATTTCAAATATTGCAGAATTGGACATTTTTCCATTATATTTCTCATATCTGGATAAAATAGTAAAGAGACCTTATAAGTATTTTTTCCGTTGTCATTTTTAGAAATACAATTTTCACAACGCATTTTGAATCGTGTTCAATCCTGAACTTCCTAGCATGACAATAATTTGTTTTTTTCACATTTTCAATTGATCGTTATACTCGTAGGTAGGTGTGCATTATTAAAGTATTTCTGACTAGTTCTACTTCAATACGAAGAATAATAAACCGTACAAAATCATTACATCTAAAAACTTTTTTTACCGATGGTGGTACCTTACCATTTTAATACCAAGGAATTAAAATCAATTTAACCACACATGTTTCTGATTAAAATATATTTCTAAGGTCTACCGAATTTACAACACGTCTCTTTATCCACAGAATCCGGACATGGTGCTAGTACACTACCTCAACGTACCCTATCCAGATGACAACAAGTTGTCAGTGATTTCTCCGAGTCTTGCACTGTGGGCTGATCGAAAAGAATGGACGAAAGATGAACTGTTATCTCAGCTAAAACCTATGTGTAAGTGTGCCAGTATACATATCTCGTATTTCACATAAATCATTGTTGTGCCATCGTTATTTCTCTTTTTAATAAAATAATATTCTTTGAGTTCCGTTTTTTTTTCACAGTTTACGAGGAAGACCCTGACCTTAACAACGAAATGGAAGTATCGGTAAGTACTACTTGTGGTGCTTCTTACAAAATCAAATGGGGTCAACAAGCCCGCTTAATATATTATAAACACTTCTCACCGCACACTTCGTCATATGCTCCCATTTAAGTTTTAACAAAATTGAAAATATTAGAATTTATATTCATACTTTTAAATTTTTTCCCGCTCATATACGTTTTATTTATATTTTTTTATTTAAATGTAATGTATTTTCTATAGTAGGACATTAAAAAATTTGTATAAATTTTATATATACGCTAGAAAAAAAAATGTTTGGGCCGACTTTTTTTTACTAGGTCATCCGTATTATTTTTATGCTCTTTTTACCAAACATTATATCATATTATATAATTACTACAGCAAAATCAAAATTTTTAAGTTTTTTTACGCATTTATCTTCGATAGAACAAAAAATTTGTTTATTGTAAATACATCTTATGAATATTTATTGAATTAAATATACATATTAAACTGTGTATTGGGTACATTGTTGTATTATAATACGTTATAAATCAATACAGCATATTTTTATGTTTCAATGAACGAGTATTATTTAACATAATCTTTTTTAGCATACTTTTATTTTAACTAATGAAGAATTTTAATAGGTATATTGTACTTTTTATAAACAGAATAAACATTTATTAACTAAATACTAATTTAAATATAACTTTTTTCACTTAAATTATATTTTTAAACATCAACCAAAACAGTAAATAATTAATTGTATAAAATATTTTAGTAAAAGTTTTGACTATTCTTCAGGTACAAAAAAATACTCGTAAATTATATACATTTAAATACAAATAAACGAATTATTAATAAACCTTAATTATATGAAAATTTTTTCGATGTTATTTGTATTTATTTTAATGATTGAAATAAAAAATAATTTCTCTGAACTATTCCAATGGAGTTATATCCATACTAATTTAAATTAAGTTATCCTGAGAAACCAAAAAAATAAATGGAAAATGTAAATAAATGAAAACAAATTTATTTGAATAAATTATTTTATATATAAATATCAAAATAAAATCAAACCTGCATTCTTATATCAGTGTAGTTTTAAATATTTTCGATATGTTTATTAAAACAAATTGTAATTTTATTGCAAATCCGGTCAATTATAAATATTTAAATGAAGTAAAAGAATATTGAAAGTGTATCAAATTTTGATAGAACGTCAAAATAATCATAAGTTCGTAGTTCTCTACGTTCTTGTATTATTCCCTTTAAATCGATTTAAAAATTGATAAAATTAGTTTGAGAGTTTTCTTGTTCGATTATGCAATTATATACATCTTGAAGGGGATATTTAAAATCTTTACTAGATTTTTTAATGAATTTGCGACGTACTTTCGATGTAGTATAATAATATATATAATATATATTTATATATATAATATATATTTATATATATATATATATATTATATTATTCTATTTCTAAACAATATAATACGTTTTATTATTAATTTGAAGTGCCCTATGATATCTATGCGAGTGCATAAATGTGATGATCTCAATATTAATTCCATGTACATCTTCCTTCTAAGATTTCTCAGAGACGTAATTTTGAATTAGATTTGTTGCACGTTATCTATGCGATAACGTATAGAAGTTGCTTTCCGCAGTCACATTTGAGATTATAAAACTACAGTCGCATAGTTGTTAACATCCTGAATTTGCACATAGAGAAATTTGTTCTGTAGATAATGGAATGTCTCGATGTATGTTTACTAACCCAATCCATTTAACCGTGACTGTCCCATCGTATTTCTTAAATACGTTTTTAAACGTTTAAGACTAAAAAAAAAAAATTCTGCTGGGAGATGTATCCCCCATCATTCCTCCCTGCGCACGCCACTGCACGCGTCTATCGGGGAAATGTTTCACAATTTTTCGCATAAATCTAAACAATAAAATGTATACCACGATATATTGATTCAATAAATTTAAAATATTTCTGATGGATATATTACTTGTAAATATTTACTAACCAATCAACTAGATAAAGTTTCGAGGTAATAACAAATACAAATATTAACAATTGTAAAATCAATAATTTGATCTAGCAATGACATTTGTCACTCCACCGAAAACTTAAAATGGATGTGAAGAAACTATCCATCCAATAAAAAATACATTTGAATGACATATGATAGATACCATCGGATTATTAACATAAAAAGTAATCTAAAACTAAAATACAGTAGCAGATGATCACGAAGAATTTGATAGAATGGTAATCAACTTCTGCAAACTGAAACGGTGTATAAAAGTTAATCCAATTTTTTATATAAATTCAATACTGGAGGTTCCATATTATCCAAACTGTTAACATGCAAATAACATGATGGCATTGTATTAAACTTTTCAAATCTAAAATTCATCCGTCCTACACATATTTTTATATTTTAATATTTCTTTTTAAATTGATGGTGAATTTTTTGTCAATCGTGTCAACAGCGTATTTTTCCCTAGTGTTTTCGAATGATGAACATTTTGAAGACTTTAATAAACTCTTGAAACTCGTGGTTGACAATATAACCAGATAAGCCGGTTTATAGTTTGTATAACATATTTAGTTTTGATCGTAAAAAATAAATTGTATAATTATTTGGAAAACGTTACAAGTATGTGAATTCGAGAAAATTGTACGTTAATATATTTTAGAATACCAAAAAATTAATTAAAATATTAAATAATGAACTAAAATTAATATTTTAACTTAATTTTAACTGTTTACCAGTACTTACTCAACGTTACTATAACCGGTGTCCACGATGAAAATATGCAGTGTTTTTCATGTTCCCGACAAACCTAATGAATAGTTCTATTGAACTATTTACTAAGGATTTCAAGGGTTTAAGCTTTTTTTGTTATTCTTACATTGTGCCAATTTGCACTAAACATTTTTCTCGTAACATACCGATATTCAAGACGATGCAAATCATCAATAACAACCCGTCCGTTTATAGCTGTTAAAAATATGATACTATATAAACAATAATAAGCATTAAGTGTTACTGTAAATGTACGTATGTATTATATTTATATGTAACTGTATAGTGTATATTCACTACACTTTGGGCTACGATAAAAGTAAAATTAAAATTAAAATATTACAATTATTTTCAAACATTTTTTAGACTGCCGAATGTGTAGCCGCCATGGTCACGCAACTGATGGAATGGCAGAAAAATGCTAGGGCAACTCTACTGAGCCGGACGCTCGAATGCGGTTGTCCAGACTCCACATGCGCGGATGGACAGTCATGTTCGCGGCCGATAAGACGGATTTCACCATCTGACAGCAATCAGGTACTATATGCGACCCCGTGTGCTCATCAAGTTCATCAATTCTTAAACTTTTTCAAACACGAATATGTATATTTTGTTTGTTTTTTTTATTTCACAGGTATCGTCGACAACCGGAAACAGATCTCGTCCCGGAACAATGCTACTCACCAACCACCACGTGAATCCTTCTAGAACTACGATGAACACGTTAATGATCACTAACCACGTGAATAAGGTGAGCGCAACAATATAAAAAAACCATAAATGTTCGTTCGTGAGATGCACGATTTCAAATGAATGCAATACAAGCTGTAACAAGAAAAAATAAATGCGTACATTTTTCTCTAAAACGATAAAAACGAATAAATGTGATTTACAGACACAAAACGGACAGACTTCTTTGAATAATAACTTGTTGTCGGATTCTACAAGGGATTTTCGTAACCAATCACAACAACAACCACAACCGCAACAATCACAACAACAAATAATCCTCAAACACGAATGTGTAAGTTTATTGGAGTACTACATGAATATATCAAGTTTGAATTTTTTTTTTTTTTATAAGTCCAGGTATAGTAGATCATTTTAAATTTTCGACGTTAAATAAAAATTTTAATTTTGGAATTTTAGTTTCAAAGACATAAAATAGTCATATAATAAGTTAGTTAATAATATTTTTTCAAATTTTATAAACTCATAACCATATGTTTACAAATTATTTTATATTTTCGTTAGTAAAAAAAATGGTATTTATTTTAAAAATCAAAATTTGTTTGCTTAACGTTTAGTTAAGTTTTGTTAATTTTAACAAATCAATAGTAATAATGTTTTTAATTTCAAATCACCTAATCACATTGGGAAAGAAAATATTTTATATTTGTTAAACTTGTTAAACAGTTTTATAGATTATACATTTTTAATAACAATAATTTTGTTTTGTTCTAATCTATATAAATCTTACTGGTAACAATATTTTTTCTTTTATATTTTATTATTTTTTTTTTTTTTACAAGCAATAAAGTTTAATCAACGAATGAACTATAGTTAATTTATTACCAACTTATCTGTTAATTAAATCGCGTTGTTCAAATAATTTTCAAAAGTAAAACAATTCGAAATGTTTTGATTTTTCTCTTTTAGAGAGATAACAATCAAATTTTAAACAATCGGCAATCAACAATCAACGTGGCTAACAATAATCACATTCCCACTACAATGATATCGTATAAACCTCAAGGCGCTGATGAAGTGATCCACATATACACGGAAAAACAACCGTATCACTCTTCTCCGAACCAGAATGAACACGTACATTTGTTCCACGGGCAAGAACACCTCAAATCACAGTCGGACTCCGTTAAGTCCGAATTTTACAACGTAACTTTGGATTTGTCAAACGACGATATACAACAGACGCTTTCGGCCAACATGCCAGTTTCGTGTGCTAATGCCGACCATCTTTTAAGGTAAAAACGATTTCATCGGAATAACACTTGTTATGTGGGCGCTCAGTACGCCTAACCGGTCTTTAGTATAGATAAACACTGTATTTACAATATACCTAGAGTCTAGACAAACCTCTAAATGTTGTACAGAGTTACTAAGACCATATTTTTGTTACATTTTTTATGTTTCTGTTATGGAACGTTACGTATAAATCGTTAATCATAATATGTAGCTGTTTACTGTACACACATTATTTCATGTGCAGATTGGACGATGATCGAGACAACAAGAACTTAGACGGTACCGGAGACGACGTGTTCGTGAGTCTAGACGCTTTCGACATGCTTACCGACTTTCAAGAGCTCGATATATTAGAACACGCTACACAGCAAGCATCCAGTACGTACTCGATGTTGTTTAGATTTTGAAATTTTATTTCAATTTATTTAGTAATAGTCATTTAGTTCTCGACAATATCTATACGTTCGTAGGTCTGGTCACGGACATTGTAACGAATTCCGGAGATTTACAGCCCCACGGACAGGCACAGTTAGATATAGACGTATTACAAATAACAGACTACTGTCCCGAATGGGCATTCCCCGAGGTTTGTCAAGATCTTCTAATTTTGACGAATTTATTAAACAACCGCTTGCTTATAGGGAGGTGTTAAAGTACTGATCACGGGCCCTTGGTATTCTTCCTCGTCGTACACTGTTATGTTCGATACGATTTCAGTCCCGAGCACTTTGATCCAAGGAGGTGTTCTGCGATGTTATTGTCCAGGTAAATGCATTCATATCAATATTTATGTACGCGGTAATTTAAGCTGCATAGTGAATTTGAGGTATTGATAGTTCACAAAAATAAAACATAACGCAATGAGTAGATTATAAAATTAATATATTCAAAAATATAAGCCAAACCCACCGTAAAGTTGTATTTTATTAAAATAAAAAAACAAGTCAACACTTAATTAATTATTCAACGCATTTTAATTACGATATGTTCATTAAAGTTAACAGAAAATAGGCCCAAAAGAACATTCACTAGTAGTTTCATAATGATTCCTTTTTTCCCATTGCTTGTGTTAAAATATAAACAGAAATTCGTTACCAGTTAAATTAAATATGAATTATACAGCAATATGGTAAAAGATATACCAATATAGTAAACTCGATTTCTTATAACTTGAAAAAATCTTACTTAATCGATGCAATTTATTGCAGTCCTAAACTATATGTTTACATAAATATGAATTTGTTGCTATAGCTCATGATATAGGAACTGTTACATTACAAGTGGTAGTCGATGGCAGACCCATATCGACCACTGCTATATTTGAATATCGTCAGCACGAATTCCCCCTAACTATATCATCATTGTCAATGCCACATGCACCGTCACTACTCAAATTTCATCTGCTTCAAAAACTTGACACCCTCGAAGATTACTTACAGCCCAACAGTCAACAAGCAGACCATCCTTTAGTATGCATGATTTGTATCTATTAAGCCAACACGAGTTACATTTTTTCTTTTCTCTCTTGATTTTCTAGAAAGAAAATATCGTCATGTTTAGTAAGCCCAACTTTGAAGACCACCTTGTAAATTACTGTGAAAAAATGAAACAATTTTCGTGGAAATCTGAATCCGAATGTAACGTTAAACATTTGGACACGGAAACTACTATATTACATATGGCAGCTTTTCTGGGATATTCTAAGTGAGTTAAAAACGATATTTGTTATAATCAACATAATTGTATTCAAATGTTTTTATTTATTCGATTAACATATTTAGACTCGTGTGCATTCTTCTTCAATGGAAATTAGAAAATGTGTCAATGTTTTTGGAAATGGAAGTCAATGTTTCGAAACAAGACCGCGAAGGATATACACCTTTGGTAATATATTAAAAATAACCCATCGCTTAAGTGATGATTACAAATTAAAATGTAATTTTCATAGATGTGGGCCTGTAAGAAAGGACACAAAGATACGGCAATTTTACTCTGTCAGTGGTATCAAACTATTCAAAGCTCTAATGAAAATTTTAATCAAGAATATAACCAGCCCGACATTTTAGAATCCGTTCACCAATGTATGCAGTAGAATCAATTTTCTCATATTTAAATATATTTTGTTTTATTTTTTTATGGCTTAAATATTTTTGTTTGTAATGATTATAGATTTTAATGATTTCAATCAAAATCAATACTATACTACTGACAATTTAAACAATGATTCGTTTTTGAAACCTGATGGGTATGGAATAAAATGTTAAATATCTTAAACCCAATTCGTAATGTATTCGTGTTTAACAATTATTTCAGTGATATAAAAAAAGAAATCAGTCAAAAGTTTGAAGAGCCGTACAATTCAACAGCATCTCCCAATAGATCTATTACCATATCATGTAAGATTTATTTTAAACAATATTTTGTTTTGAAAAAAAAAATTGTCAATTTAAATTGCATTGATACTATAGGTTTGAAAGAAGCAGACAAACCATGCAAAAATGAAGAAATCAGAATTCAAGAAACCCAAGGGTCCAAAAGACCACTTCCAAACAGTTTTTTTCAAATGGATGATTACTACGACCAATTTCACAAGCCTACGGTTTACTTTCCATCTGATCAAAAGTAAATAAAATTTAACCATACTAATGTATTACATTTCATACGTTTGAAAATATTAAGTGTCAAACAAATAACTATTTTTTTTAATAACTACACACCTTCATGTATTAAGGTTTCAAAAGAGTTTGTTTCTACCATTACAATCTCCGACGTCTGACAGTGGAAATTCGTCAGAAAAGTCACCGGTTCTTACGAAGTCTGATTTTATAATTTGTAAGTATTTTATTAATCTATTGATTCGTTATTCTTTTTAATATAATCTATTATATTAAATATTAGACCTTAAAATTTCGCTTTCAGCAGTATATTATAAAATACTATAAAATGAATTTACTTGTATATATATATATATATATATATATATATATATATATATATATATATATATATATATATATTATATACACATTATTTTATATTATTATTATTGTCGTAAAATCGACATTTAGAAGAAATGTATATGTATACGTAGGAGAAGTAAATATGTTTTTGACGTATATTTATATTTATTATTATATTATTACTTTTAACCGCTATAATTACAAATGTATTTAATTGTCACACGTTGACAAGATCGTTATGTACGAATAGCTGTATTATTTGTAGAGTAATATTATTATTATTTGAAATTAGGCATATACTAGGTCCTATACTACGCCATAACATAATATGTAGATGAAAATATAAAATTAGTTACAGTTGAGTCGAAAATTGACAATATTTACTATTCGAGTTCCGAAATCATATCACAAAACATTTATACTATATTATATTACGTATATAAAAGTACTGTGTGTTAGTCTTTGGTTTTTGTTGTTTATCTTATTTTTTATTTCTCCGTCGTTAATAGGGTTTGTTATGTGATTCGACACACCACTTTAATGGAACGTGTAAAGTGACGACTGCCGAACTACTAATAGGACTCCAGATGGTTTTTTTTTTTTTACATTTTTTTATGCGTTCGATAGCTTTTATTTTTATTAGCTTGTTACGGTAGAATTTGATTGGCTGACCGTTAGGCATGGTAACCGCGCAGGCCGATGGACCGGCGGACGGCGCTGTGGGTAGTGAAAACAATGGCAATGGTAACACGCGATCAGGCGAACGTCAAAATGATGCACAAATCGAAGACGCTGTTCAAACGCCCAAAAATCTCGCGGAACATGGTATGAACTACACTAGCATATTATACTGTGTTACTATTTTAATCGTATTGCATACGTATGAGACGTTTTTTTTCTCGCCAAACGTATGCAATCACATATCTCTGTACGGGAAATATTCGTGATTTTCATCCATCGCCTTTTGTTCGACTCTCAGCCACATATATCCTCGATGTTTTCATAACAGCTATATAATTACTAAAATTTTCCTTTCTTACCTGTCATAGAACGGTAGAAATGTTAAATTATTTAGGTTCCCGATGATTTCACTTTCTGAAAATGTTGATGATATCGAACTTTCCAAAATATACTTTTACCGTCGAAACTTTGAATTATATTACGTATATTTTTAACGATTGAATCAATAATATTGCCATTTCCCGACCATTCCAAACTGCAGTTCAAACATTACAGTTTTACCCTAACAATTTTGATCCACATCTTGCTTATGTGGATAGGTTGGTTTAGTGGAGTTTGTCCATGAGTTAGTTTAGGTTTGCTCCGCCATCGCATACATAGTTATATTATACATACACATTTTCAGAAATATATCGTTCGAGTTTATAATAAATATTATTCAGAACGTAATTTAAAACAATGATAATATTGATAATAACTTAACATATAACAGTGAAGGATACGAATAATATAATTATAGAAAACATCGAATGATGTGTTTTTAAATGTCTTTATAAAAATGACGAACGTTTCCCGAGGCATAGCCAAGTTAATTTAAAACAATCACCACTCATACATTATATATTATAAATATATGAATATGTAAAAGTTATAAACATGCACATACATTTATACAAAATATACGTATATAATATATGTTATATATTTTTATACGTGTGTAGATATAATATAATACCATTAATTTTTTCGCAATTCATATTATTTAATCATTAGACGTTTTTATTTTCTTTATATAAATATATATTATATATATTATCATTAAATTGCACTAGGTTTTCGATACGATTTTTTTTTTGATTGACTTTTTAGAGTAGAAAATATTTTTAAGCGTAGATGTATAGTTAGCAGTTGTTATTCATAGCGATAATAAATTGTTATAATAATAATGTATCTACGATTTACATATAAGTATAAAAATGTCGGAGTTACTGGGTGAGTACATTGATTATATCAATTCAGAAAGCATTACAAACATAATTCAATTGATTTCTAAACCTTATAGATGAATCAGTGGTGTAATTTTGTTTCACAGGGGAGCAAGATGTACGTGTTTTGACGTTAGCTGAACAGTTTATAGCAGCTATGCCTGATCATATAAAGGTAATATAATAATATAATAAGGTATACCATAACAATAACCGTAAACTATATAAATCAAATAAATTGCATTCCAATTATACGTACGTGGGATTTATTGTCATATTAATTATAGACTATATTAACGACGAGTACAAACTTTCAAACTAAAGTTGTTTCGGCAAGTCACATCGTGATAGAAATAAAACGACTAGTACATTTACTATAGTTTATCGCTATTCAGATAATGTGAAAGGGTGTGCATTGGACTGTGTTTATATGGGGGAGAAGTCTTTCGTAAAAAGCCGCAATTCTGGTGTTATCGATACACTCTATTCCGGAGGGAATGTATAGTTCACTCCCTGCAGGTGGTTTACATTACGTGACGTATACACAGGATCTCGAACCTGACCTTCGTTATTATGTAACCGTTAGCCTTGCACTGAAGGGTTCCTTGTCATCCACTTACAATATGCTCACGAAATAACGAAATCGTACATTTAATTTTATCATTTTTACTGTTCATAGTTATTACTATAACTTGTTTTATTTTTTGTTTTCTAGAATGAAAACGGATCACATGGTAAAATTATAGATTCATCAATTTCAATGGACGTTACTGATGACCCTCCGTCATCCGTGTCGTCATGTTGTTTTGATGCCAACTCTGAAATAAATACAGAATTCAACGAACACGTTTATCGTTATCGGTAACATAATATTAAAATAAATTCTTAATGCTTTTATAATAAAATCGTAAGCCCGTCCAAATATACGTATACAAGACAAATGCGTTCTCTTGTTTTTTTTAAGACTAAGTCGAAATAATTTTTCAGGCAAAAAGAACGTGAAATAGAAACACCAACGTCTAGCACGAGTTTAAGTTTAAGTCCAGTTTCCAGCGCATCACAGTGCTCACCAGCGTCACCACCACCCAATGCTGCAGATTTATGTGAATTTCTTCACGCTTCGTCGAACAATCAATATTTCGAAAAAAACTTTTCTAATCTTACATTATCCGGTATGTATCTATTATAATTATTATTTAACCAAAAAAAGAAAACAATGCATTCAATCGATTACATATTCTAAACCGTTTCTACAGATTATGAACAACGTGAGTTATACGAGGCAGCTAAAACGATTCAAAAAGCATACAGGACGTATAAAAAAAAAGAAGAAGACAAAGAAATTTCAGCCGCTTCGGTCATACAAAATTACTATCGTCGTTACAAACAGGTAAACAAGAAGTTGGATTTAAATAAACATAAAAATATTAAACGTGAACATAATTTTCCAGTCAAAAATATTTAAGCAATGGTGTATTATATACTATGAATAACAATGTAATAATGTTCATTGTTTGGTATAGTTAAAAATTTAACAAACTGTAGAGTAAATGTTTATTTAATAATACAAAATACAATTTAAATTTATTTTTCTCTAGTACGCGTACTATAAACAAATGACAAAAGCTGCAGTTCTAATTCAAAATCAATACCGTTTATACAGAAGACATAAACGATTCAAAAAAGAAGTTCCTCATTACGCTAATAATACATTCACAGTCATCAAGTAAATATTATATACCATCAACTTTTAATAAATTTTTTACTAATTAAAATTATAGTGCTGAATCGTTTAATTTTATCACATTATTATACATTATATTTATATGTATTAAATTATAATCTTTATGTAATTGGGTTATTACCCGTAAATAAATAAATACTAATAATAATAATAATAATAATAATAATGATACATTCAAATACAAATTGTAACAATAAAATTTCAATATGTTTATGTGATTTTGAATCGTTTGATTACTAGTTATAAATTATTTTTTTCACCACAATTAATTCAAATTTATTTTGAACTTGTAAATTTAGAAAAAATCAGACTCAAAAGCGCCAAAACCAAGCAGCTCGAAAAATTCAACAATTTATGAGACAATCCAAGAACAGGTACATGTAGTACTTTTTAGTTTTTTCACATATTTTCATAATTTGCTATTGCGTTTTATCTATAGTAGAATAAATATAAATAATATAATATATTTAAATGTGTTTGCAAATAATTGTTAACATGAAACTATATAAATAAATTGTTTATTTACAGTACGTCTCCTCCTGTCTCTGTAAGTTACCTTGTTTATTGATAAAAATTAAATGAACATAAAATGTGTACGTAGCTAAAGATTTTCGATTTCACGGTTGACTTCACGTACTTAACATGTATTAAATTTAAATTCGATAAATTATAATTGCATTCGACTTAATTGCTGAGATGGAAAACGATGTTTATGCGAGAATCATTCATATTTATTTAAATTTGCGAGTGTTTTTAATAACCCTTCAAGTTTTTTAACTTAATAGTAAGTGATAAGTCAACCCGATAATCCGTTTTAAATCATTTCTTAGTCGACCATATACGTCATAGTTATTTCCACGTTTTTCTCGGACTTGGAAATATATTTTTGAAAATATATTTATCTTACAAATCGATGATATTCCGATTACATTTCAGATTAATGGCCGTTCTTTTGGATCTCGTAAGCGGGAAGCTAACAACAGTCATAATATGAAATATCCACCGACAAAAGTGGCCCAGTATACGACACTCAATTGAAAATATCACGTATAAAATGATTAATCGTAGAGTTTTGAACAATTAGTTTTTTTGTTTATTATTATTATTATTATTATTATTATTATTATTATTATTACTATTATTATTATTATCGGTATTTTCATAAGTTATTAATAGTTTTCTTCCTTTAGTTGAAGATGATAATAATGCATTGTTTTATTGAGCACCAGAGCTTACCAATAATTTTTACAATTAAAATGCGAAACGAGAAAATATAATTATTACTTATATTATACATAACATAATAATAAATACCTATATTATTGTTTATGTGTTCTATTTTGCTGCTAATATGATAAAAACCGTCCCAGTTTGTTTTAAAACAATAGTGACAGCGATCCAACCCAAACAATATATTATTATTACTCAGCGAAAGTATAGGATTGTTGCTCCTCGTAGTCATCGTCGTATCAATGCCCACATCATAATATCACCCTATGCCTACATTTCTCATAATTTAATGTAATCTAGTTTTTCCCTACTCGATTACACTTCAAACATAAATATTATTTTATTTACAATTGTATTACGTAGTGATCATATGTGTCCGCTCTCGCGCACGAATACTCGGTCGACATGGACATTTGTATACGCGATGGTACTTCGAAACGGATACAATAATATTATTATTAGACGTATTGATTTGTACCGGGGAAGATGTCCGTCATCATTGCCCGAGCTTACGCAAACAATAACAATTTGTTCCTAATAGGTCATCATTGGGGTAACATGTATACGAATCAAGCTCCGACCGAGTGCAGTAAAACATTTTTAGCGAGTGTACGGCATAAAATAATTATAAACATTCAATCGGAAACGGGTTTTTTCTCTACACAATCGGTGTGTAATAAAATATAATAGTGACAGAGATCAGGCTAGACATGCAGTTGTACGTAGCGTAACGATTCGACTTTTGTCTTGAAACCGTGAACCATTTACTTCGCTTGAGGAAGAAAGATTGGTCTTAATATTTAATTAATATAATATTACCGGTTCCGTCGTTATTTTTGTCGAACAATCAATTTGACGTCATAATAAAATTGTTCTACAATTTTAATATTAGTTTTGTGCTAGGATTCTGCCTAGTATAAGAAATAAATAATTTTTCTATAGCTATAACTCCATTATGCAATCACATCTGTTCTACAAGTCTACACTTATAATATGAAACACGTTAATTTAGTGAACTTTTTAATTGTAAAGTATATTCGCTAAAAAACTTGTTAAAATGTTAAATGTTAAAAACAAACGTAATTTATAAAAAAAATGTTTACATATTTTTTGGCTTCTCGACGATCTTCAAATTTTCCATTGAAAATAGTTGATTCATGTTTTAAAAATGTAGACTATCGATATCTTTATGACAGTTACCATTCGAAGTTTTAAAATGTAATCTTCATTGAATAATTTTTTTCTTCGTATATTCTTTCATATATATATATTTTATATAAACAATAGTCTAGTGATTAATATTTTTAGTGGCGAAATAATTGTAATCCATCGCTCTATTGGATATCCATTCAGAGTTTTAATAGATACAAATTTACTGTATATCATTTGTATAACAATATCTGTATAACTCGTAGTAAGAAAAATATTCAACAAAATAATCCTAAATCGTCCATGTATATTAATAGTATTTTGTAACCTATTTATGCCGTTGCATAAATACTGTCTCGTTTTCGCACTGCTCTAGAGCTCGACTAGCTGTCAGTCCATCAGCCCTCAAACAATAAAACTGAATTAAATTATTAGCCAGTATATAACAATAGTCTTATGATTTAATAATCAATGATTTAAATAAACAACACAGCTATGAGTAAGAAATACGATTTGTATTCATACGTCTGTTTTTTTGTACTACAACGCAGATAGGTTAAACTTTTTACAATACATTTATAACAATAGAAGTATTTATGAAAACGGCAAAATCTTTTATTTACATTATTCTCCAATTTATTTTCCCGCATGTCTCTAAATGGAACGTCTGCAACGATCAAACAGTCAGAGCATATTAAAAACCGTAATCACGTAATTTTCCGACCATTATAAACAATGGAAATTCCGAGGTTAATTAATATTGTGTATTTGACACTAAAGCAAACAGTTTAGTGAGACCTTTAGAGAAACTGCTATAATATATCTGACGACAAACAATTTAATACAAACTAACACGATATAGAAAAATGTATGTATAATCTTCCTTTTTTCTAATTAATCATTGGATCTTGTATCCGTATTATTTTTCTTACTATATACCACATTGATTCGAATTTAAAAATAATTATATTTTTTCGAAGCACTTGTGTCTTATATTAAATAGTCTTTATGAATTAAATTTCAATATTTTATATCAATTCTTAACATTTCTAAAGAATACATTATTATGGCCATACATGTTCTTTCTTTGTTCATTCTTTAATTATATTTCGCTATTTTATTTTTTAATAGACGTCTCTGGGTACTTATTTTTCTAGTTATATGATTAATGTAACTTAATACGTCCGATAATAATTATTTACGTACTTATACGATTTTTTTAGTGCTGCTCAATTTTAATAACAATAAGTTTTTTTTTTATTATTATTATTATATTCGTGTTTAATATTGTTAAAAATTATTTAATGTATTATTATATAACGATTATCATAATACTATTAATATATATTATTATTTTACTACATAGCATTATGAACTCGAATTTAAGCATTTATTTGAAAACTCTTAGAGTTTCATTTTATTGATTTATAAACTACTATTGTTTTATTTGATTATGTCTTTATATATAATAAACTTTTTTCTCTCGAGTCCAAAATCTTAGTGTTTCGATATTATATTTTATGGCATATTTTGGTTTAATAAATTTATGTAAGTTAAAAATATTTATAGTTTTTTGTCATTATTTGTTCTTCCAACACATTTAGTTTAATGTCTAGAACATTAAGAATCCAAAAAGTATCATATGTGTAAAAATATATTTGGATAACTCGAAGACTATAATGTATGGTTTAGTGCAACTGTAGTCATATCATATAAAATGTAATCAACAATTAAATTAAACCGTATTAACAACATGATTAGTATTAAGTCCATAAATTCGAATTAAAAACATCAGAAATAATTTTATAGATAAGAACACGAGAAAAACGAGAAAAACTATTCTGCCAACATAGGTGAAAATAGTGATACTTTTTTCACATTAATCATTGTTTTTTAATATGTTACCGTTTTCCTTAGTAACAGCTCTAAACAATTTTTTTTTAGAATTTCTTGATGATAAAATATCAATCAAATAACGGTCATTCAAAATATTTGTGTTTGTAATCCCTTTAAAAAAAGGACTTATAATTACGATTTTTTTTGTAATGCAATAATGATTACTAACACAGATAATTCCATCCCAGAATCACAAATTCATCGATCAAATACTTACAGTGATGAATATTTAAAATTTAAAATTTATAAAAATGTAAAATCACGGGCAGTAAGTATATAAAAGTTGGTTTAAATTTTTTACAAACTAAACAGTAATTAAATTCATTTGAATTTAATTATTTTATTTCTTAAACTGAAATTATTTAAAGTCAGGTAGTTATGATATTTGAATATTTTAATAATTAGATATTTTGTTCATATTTTTATTTTAATTCACTTTATTCAATTATTAAGAATAATATGTTGAGCTAGAAAAATAACTCAATTACATCGTTGAACTTTATATATTATATAATAATGGACAAAAAATCAAAGTCAATCTCAGTATATAATAATATTTTAATAAAATTGATTTAGTAAATTAATAGAATAAAATAATAAATTAGTTAATTCTCGTAAAAAAACAAATACATAAATTAATAGTTTATATTTAGAAATAAATAAATAAATGTGTAATAAGATATATGTATTGTTGACCAAAACAAATTAAAAATGTATTATCAGATAAATTACAAAGTCAAAAAATCCTTGTGGCTTTGACTTGGGGTTTACTTTAGTTTACCCGATGACAAATTTTTAATTCAATAACTGATTTTACAATACCCATATCTTAATACTTCAGGCTAAGCATTTATTTATTTATTTCTTCATATAAACTATGTATTTATGTAAAATTGATTTTACTAAAAATTTTTTATTACTTTGAGCTAAGCTATGATGTTGTGATGAATTTATAATAATAATATATTTAATTTATTCATGGTGTTTTAAGAATACATTAAATCTTAAGAAAATTTTTAATTACTATTATCTTAAGGGGTTTAGTATTTAACTAACCCCATACGATAAGTTCAAACATTTTTTTCTGATCGCACAGTGATTTTTTTTTAAAGTTAAATTGCTAACTTTTGATTTTCTTAGTTACCAGAAGAAGAACTACGCGACAAGTTCAGTGGTAATATGGATTATTTGCTGTATTGTTTTAGTCTCACCGGAAGTCTCGCAAACCTAACCAGATTTTCATATTTAGCATATTCATACAACGGATGTAATATATTTTTACTTTATAATTTAATAATAATAATATTAATTTCCTTTTGAAAGGGATCAGACCAAACTATTTTGTTTAGACCATTGAATTTAAAATAAAATCATGCTTTTTCAGTAGACGATTTATACCTTAGGTCAAGTGTAGGTACATATATTTTTCATCAAATCTCTTGTTAGCACTATCAAAATGAAAGTTGGATATGCTTCTCCACTTCAATATTTTTGAACCAAAGTCACCCCCCCCCCCCCGGTAAAAATTCAAGTCTGGTCAAACTTTTCAGTAGCGCTAAGCCCCTAAATGGGTGTTAAAATAACAATATCTTAAAAATGGAGTTGTGCTAGTCCTAGAAATACTTATCCCGGCATTCAATAGTACATAGCTATAAATATATATATATATATATCTTATGATATTTTTAGTGAATTGTACCTAGTTTAACGTATATTTGACAATTGTACTTTTTTGGGGTTCGGTGCTATTTCTCGCACATAATGTAGCATATATTGGTCTTCATTCGCCGCACAGTGGGATGAAACCCATTTTTAGCATACATAAATTAATAACTTTAGAACTG